CACAAATTGCTGCGTTTGTGTTTTCTCCTGGCATAAACAGGAGAACCTGTCTCGCTTTGTCCCCCGGTTGCCTCCGGCCCAACTAGTCTGACGAGGCTGGGAAGATTTATCTCAGGGAATTTCGTTTTATTATCTACTTTGGGATGAGTTTCAAAAGCTCTTTTGAAAACCTGTCTGACTAGCACGAGGGAGGGGCATTTTTATAACCAGGCTGAGTCTCTCCTCTTCTGGTTGTGCTTTAAGGAACATTCAGGCTCCCATCTGTGTATGTTTTTTTGTCGATGTGTGTCCAGGTGTGTCTGTGCACAGGTGCATCTGTGTCGGAATGTACATGACGTCCTCAACTTCCAACCCTGCGTTGACAACAGCATGGAAAAAAAGGGACTTACGACTTACGAGTGGACTTCAACTCCCAGAATTCCCCAGCCACCATGTAACTTTAACACGAGTGGGCTTCAGCTCCCAGAATTCCTCAGCCATCCTAAAACTTGAAGATGAGTGGACTTCAACTCCCAGAATTCCCCAGCCGCCATTTAACTTTAACATGAGTGGGCTTCAACTCCCAGAATTCCTCAGCCAGCCAAGCTGGCTGGGGAATTCTGGGAGTTGAAGTCCACATATCTGAAAGTTGCTAAGGTTGCGCAATACTTCCTTACAACATAATATAATATATAATAGTAAAGTTGGAAGGGACCCCTGGAGGTCATCTAGTCCAACCCCCTGCTCAGGCAGGAAACCCTGTACCATTTCGGACAAATGGCTGTCCAGTCTCTCCTTAAAGTCTCTTCTTAAAACAATAAGGTAACATTCCTGGAACCTTTACAGGGTCTACTTCTTGACTGGGCCTACCTTCAAGGGCTGTCGCAGGGAATCCCAGGGCGACAGACCCGGACTGTAAGTTGCAAAAAGCATCTTGGGAGAAAATAGCAGGCAAGCCTCTTTTTGTTACATACATTTCCAAGAAAACATCACGGCCGATGGTCACAGAATTCCCAACGGTGGGATTTCATTTGAAAGAGAGTTGACATTTTTGTTGTTACTCAGAAGGGACACAGCAGTACTGTAGACTCCGCCCTCTCGGCTTCAGACTGAAATTACTACTCAGAGTAGTAATTGCTCGGTCCAAGGCACGCAACCCTATTAGTGTCAATGGGGCTTTGTCTCAAGCTTAAACACTCAATGCTGCGGTTTGACAAGGCTTCTTACGACTACAAAGACCATTTAGGGACTACAAAGAGGAGCCAGGGACACCAGGAACGTCCCCCAACCGCAACCATCCTCCAGGGCTGTTTCCTGTTGTCCAGGCATCTGCTTGGAGCTCCCTACAATTGCCCAGTCATCAAGAAAGGCCGGGAGTTGTGGTCAAAACCAAGAACTCATCAGTTGGGTTAGCAACTTGTTTTCAAGGCAAAGGGCATCCGCTGGGAAATGGGGGGTGGGGAGAAAGGGACTTGGTCATTTAACCTCTGGACAAGGAAAGGAGGCCAGCAGTACCAAGTGAAGACCTTAGCAATTCTCTGATCATGGTGGTTTTCTTGCAGATGTTTCATAACTAAACTAGGTAACATCAATAATAATAGTAATAGTAATAATAGTAGTAATTATGGATCATCGCACAGTCAGCCAGATGTTCAGACTGGATTTGGCATTTTTGTCTGCCTATCGAGTCCTTACCCAGGACCTGGGATAGGCAGATGTGGATGTTTGATGGTATTAGAGATATCGTCGCAGGATGGAAGCAGTTCCTAGTAAGGCTGCCTTTTGCAATTGACTAATAGCGAATTTGTCAATGCCAATGGTGTTCAAGTTATTTTTTTTTAATTTATTATTATTATTATTATTATTATTATTATTATTATTATTATTGCTATATTTTGTTAACTGGAGAAGATAACAAAATACAAAGACCTACAAATAGAAATAGAAAGACTGTGGCAAAGGCAAGCAAGGGTAGTACCAATAGTCATAGGCGCCTTGGCTGCAATCCCAAAACAACTGGAGCCCCACTTGGACACCATCGGCATTGACAAATTCGCCATTAGTCAATTGCAAAAGGCGGCCTTACTAGGAACCGCTTCCATCCTGCGACGAGATCTGTTAATACCATCAAACATCCACATCTGCCTATCCCAGGTCCTTGGGAAGGACTCGATAGGTAGACAAAAATGCCAAATCCAGTCTGAACATCTGGCTGACTGTGCAATGATCCATCCATGATGATGATGATGATGATGATGATGATGTTAGAAGGGAAATTGGAGGTCATCGAGTCCAACCCCCTGCTCAGGCAGGAAACCCTATACCATTTCGGACAAATGGCTGTCCAGTCTCTTCTTAAAAACTTCCAGTGTTGGAGCATTCATAGCTTCTAGAGGCAGGTTGTTCCACTGATTAATTGTTCTCACTGTCAGAAAGTTTCTCTTTAGTTCTAGGTTGCTTCTCTCCTTGATTAGTTTCCATTAGTAGCTTCTTGTCCTGCCTTCAGGTGCAGGTCCAAGACAGCTGGGCCTATCTGCACTGTTGTTCTTTCGCTTCCCATCTCTTTCGCCCAGGGCAGGCAGATAAACCCCGGCCCCTCTGCCTGCCAATTGCCCAAACAGTCTTTGGTAACCTTGGCCCAGCCGGTTCCCACGCTTGGAGCGAACCCCTCCCCGGCTGAGCCATGGGGAATCGTCCCTTCTCCATAGAAAAGACGACAAAGGACCTCGCGAGTTGGGGACAAGCCAGATATTCAGAGGAGAGGAGGGGAGAAGACAATGAACAAGGACGTGCAACCGGGGGCCTCTGGACGAGGCTGAATGGCGGGGAGAGGAAGGGGGTCTCGCACGCACCGCCGAGACCCCTTTCGGCTGCGTCTTCTCGCTGGTGGGAAATCCGAGTCCCTCTCTTTGCAGCCAATGCCACCGAAGCGCCAAAGAAAAGGCGACTTTTTACGGCTTTGCTGGCCAGATATGAAAAAAGCAGACGCTGAAAGCCGTGAGATGAGGGGGGC